TCGGGCCGCGGGTGCTGGGAAGAGGAGAAGCTGCAGTCGTTCAGGCCGCCCGGTGACTGAGACAATCGGACGAATGCTGCCTTAGGGGTGCGGGTGGACGCCCTGGGGAGGCCGAGTCTGGCGTTCTGAATGGGGACGTGGCGGCAGAGCGGCCGCGCCCACTGCCGCCCGAGTAGGGGCCGAGGCCCGCCGCCGCCCTACAGGCCCGGAGGAGAGCAGGGCGGGAATCCGGTCCACGCGTCCCGGCGCGCTCGCGGGGACGTGGCGCTTCCCAGCCAATCCCAGCTACACGACGGCACGACCAATGGCCGTCCGGGAAGGCTCGACGTCAGCGGCGCGTTTGTTGCTGATTGGTCAGAAAGTCGCCGCGAGGCGGATGGGGGCGGGGCTAGGCACCGCTTCCGGTTGGGTTGTGCCTGCGCGTGTGAGCAGAGCCGGTGGGTGCGCGGCGGCCACAGCAGCGGGCGGCGACCGTGCGGCCAAGGTAAGGCGGCGAGCTCAGCCCCTCTGCCGCCGCCGCGGCCTTCTCGGCTTTCTTCGTGGGTCTGGGCCTGGCTCCCTGCGCGGCATCGGCGTCCCTCGGGGTTCGTGTTTCTGGAAGCGCGCGGCCCGAACCCGCTCGGGGTCCCGGGTCCTGGGTGACGGCTTGGAGGCCGCCGTCGCTTTCCGCGCGCTCTGGTCTGGGGGCCGGTCCCCTCGCCAGCGGCCAGCATTGCGGTTTTGTGTCTGGCCACGGTTTTGTGTCTGGCCGCCCTCGCCCTTCCCCCGCTGGGCCCCGCCTCTCCCCAGTCCCTCGGACCAGAGGGTCACTCTGGTTTGCCTCCGGAAGGTCGGAGGGCATTCGGGCGCAGCGGTTTGGCACAGGCCCCTGCACCTCCGGCCGGCGACCCTGCTGGCAGCCGGCAAGCCCCGCCCCAAGACCCCAGCCCCGCGGGAGGGAGCTTCTGCCAAGAAAGTCGTGTTCGCTGACCGGAAGGGTGTAGAACCCGAGCAGAAAAGTCCGCTGAAGATATTATGCGTGATATTTCAGGAAACTACTCTGTCGTTGAAAAGAAAAGCCAAATACCGTGTGCGTTTGTGGTTGGTTTGGCTGTACTCTAAAACTTGGGTTAACGACCTCTTTTGGCTGGACTCCAACCCCCAGAGCCTAGTTCTGACTTTTGGCCCATCAGCCTAATTCCCTACAGCTGCCGGGACTTAAGTGGGGGAAGTGTTTTTTGCATCGAGGCCAGGGCTCCCTGGGTGGGACTCCTGCTAAAACTTTGGGCCCTTGATCTGCACTCTGTGTGTAGAACAGCTCTTTGTGGATCACGTCCTAGCGTCGACCCCAACATCGAGGAGAAAGGGCATAAGGCCGTGCCCTGTTGGTTTTCGTGCTGAGTTTACTCAGCTTGGAAGTGGCCAGCCTTGTAATCTTCTTTGCCTTAGAATGGGACTTGATGGACACACGGTTGACCTTGTTTAGTTGACGGAAACCAGACATGATGGCGGATATGACCATTGCTGAAGAATTGCAGGACAGGCCCAGTGGAGCTCCAGAAACAACCCTTAAATTGTGTTATTGGGTAGAGGAGATGTTTGGCTATGAGTCAGAATTGACTCCACAGCTGTGAGTTTGGTTTGAGTTGGATTAAGTGCTGGGATGTCAACAGAAACGGTTGAACCACTGAGCCAGTGGTTCTGCTGGAGAAAGACCGGGGGATTGCCTCCCATGAAAATGACAGCCAGAACCACCACCACCCCCTCCCCGGAGCTGTAAAATTGTCATGTAACAACAACTGGGGGTTCCCAAGATCCAGGGTCTCCCGTAAGGATTCTTTTGAGGTCACAGCCCAGGCTGTGAAGTAGCAGGGAGAACTGTACCGTAGAAGGTCTGTCGAGAATGTATGGTAGGTACTCCATTGCCTTGAAACCAGCTCCCCATCGCCCGTTTGCTTCCTTTTCAGCCAGGTAGCCCTGCTGCCATAGTGTTTAATGTGTTGGTCTGTGATCCTCAAGGTGATCTGTTCAAAACCACCACCTCTCTGTGGGAGAAAGGGCTTGTTACTCCTGTTAACAGTGCCAGTCTTGGAAACTCACAAGGGTATTTCTACCCTTAAAGGGTTGCTGTGAGTTGACATTGACTCCGTGCCAGTGACAGTTTTTCTGTTTTACTTTCCTTTCATCCAGGGCTGTGTACTGTTGACATGCACTTGGGCTGCCATAGGAGGGCAGTACATTGTTGAGAACACAGGCAAACGGGTTTTGGGGTACTGGGTGTTGGGCAGAATTAAAGATGCTTGATAGACCCCAAAGCCCTGCATCCTCCCTCTCTCTCTGAACTCTTTCATTGCTCTGATTTTTGTTTTCCCATTAAGACAGCTGAAATTACACTTTTGCCTATTGCTGGCTGGTAGCCAGATCCGGTGGGAAGAATTGGGGGTGAGGAACGTAGGCAGGCAGGAACCGCATTACTGCCAAATACTATCCAGTCAATCTAGGAAAATGAATTGATACCTAAGAAGTGCAAGAGAGTGAGAGAGACCTCAGAGGGACATTAACACATGTGCACTGAGATCCTAGCATTCCAATAGTATGCCACTATAACAGAGTGAAGGAGACAGCCCGAAGTGGCCTGTCATTGTGGTACAAACTAATTTTATATACACGTTTAGTGGAGTAAGTAGAGATCACCTCCAGCTGGAGTGATCATAGTAGGTAGATCTTTTTTTCATCTAGGATCTTAGGCAATTAGACATTTGCATCGAAGAGAGGTTGAATAAAATGACTACCAAATTCTCAAGGACTTCATGCATGTTAAACACATGCACACACACAAGCAAAAGGGGAAAAGAAAGAAACCAAAGCTCTTTGTGTGGTAATTAATATGTTGCATCATCCAAAAGTATTTCGGTTTCAGAATTCCTAGGACTTTTTTTTTCCTTCCAGGAGCCAGACATATTTTCTGTTTGTATTGGGTGGTTCTGGAGGGAGGGCTAACAAAGCTGGATTAGCAGTTTCCCTCACTAGCAATGCTAGCTTCTCTTCCCTGGCCAAATGTTGCACTTCTGTATAATCAACTGCCATGTAAATAAAAGCCACAAAAGATTATGTCACCAGGGCAAATCGAAAAAGGTGACGACATTGCTTTAACATGCTAGTTGAGTGGTCTGTGCACTAAAGTCTTAGTGAAGCCCCTTGGTCAGGTAGAGAGAGGTTTGTTAGGAGAGGGGCAGTTTCCGGGCACTAAGCCAGAGGACTCCTGCTGCTGTGAAGTAGAGAAAGGCCTTTTCTGCTGAGTGTCCTGCTCAGGTTTTACCCGACACCCACTTCTTTGAGCAATGAATGATGGTCAGGCAACCAGCTGTGGGACCACTGTGTCTTAATGTTCTTGAATACTGGCTTTGGGGGGGAAAAAAAGACTGGCTTTGATACAGACACTTCGGTTTCTCTGAAGCAGTGGCTTTTTACCAAAAAATACTGGGAAGGAAGGGGGTGGGGGATGATAGGAACTTGAGTTTTCAAAGAAGTTTTTGAATACAGAAGGTATACTGGTTAAGATTTATCACTGCTATTAAAAGAAATTCAACCTTCTACCATTTCTTCTTGCAAATGCTTGCAACAGTTCATGAAAAACCTCTTTGCAGAAGACAGTTATTGATAATATACTACAAAGCTATGGTAAACAGACAAACAAACCAAAAAACCCAACCTCTTTGCTCCTCGAGTCCATTCTGACCCCTAGTGACCCTGAAGGAAAGAGGGCTTCCACGGCTGTGACCTTTACAGAAGTAGACTGCCCTGCTTTCTCCCACAGATGAGCTGGCGGGTTTCAGCCCCCGACCTTTCGGTTAGTAACCTGAGCACTTAGCCCCTGTGCCACCAGGGCCCTTGGATGAAAAACCAACTCACAGAACCCACTGCTGTCCAGTCAGCACCAACTCCTAGTGACCCTACTCAACAGGGTAGGATTGCCCCTCTGAGTTTCCAAGACTAGTTCTAAACGGAGTGGAAAGTCTCTCCTTTCTCCCATGGACCATCTGGCGGTTTTGAACTGCTGACCTTACAGGTTAGCTGCCCAGTGCATAACCACTGTACTACCAGGGCTCCTTGGGTATTAGATACTTAACATCTTTTCTGTCTTAACTTTTTAGTGTATATCCTAACTTACTTGGCCCACTGCCCCTTTCTCAGAAAAATAAAAATAAAATTATTCTCAGCACTCCCTGGCAGTGGAAAACTTTTGTGCTATAGGTCATAAAGTGGGAATCTGCTTGGATTGTCCCAGTGCCCCTCAGGGGCAATCTTCTCCACTCTGGGAAACACTGTTCTAAAATGATACTGCCCAATAGAAATACAAGGGGGCTTTAAAATTTTCTTGGAAAAATAGAATTGAAAGTCAATGGAATTTTTCCTTGAACTTTTAAAACTGCTCAACCCTGGTATAATAAAGCCACATGTACCATTATACGTTTTCAGGTACTCACATCAAAAAGCAGGTGAAATTAATTTTAATTTTATGTTTTATTTAGTCTTTATAGCCAAAAGACTCCCTTCCTTTCATATGTGACACATACCACATGTTACTTCTCACTAGCCACATGTTAAGTGATTAGTAGCCACAGGGGCATCCCCTGCAGCCTGGACAGTACAAGTCTTGATTTTCCTTTCTTTAAAAAATGGTGTGACCCTTGGCCTCTGTGTGTGTGTGTGTGTGTGTGTGTGTGTGTGCGCGCGCGCATGGACTTGAGAGCTCCCCTCATAGATCCTTGGGGCAGTAGGAGGTGGGGAGATGGGCCTTTCACCGCCCTCTCGATCTCACGCTGAGAGTGTGCAGCACAGTTCTTGTACGCACTCTGCTTTCTCCTAATGTCCACAGCCACTGCCGGGAAGCGCCAACGGAGCTGGAGGAGAGAAGGGTTGTGTGGCTTCCGGCCTTGCGGTTTCATTTTGGCTGAAAGAGAATGATTCTTCAGAAATGAACTGCACTAGATTAATGCTGTCCGAAGTTATTTTGTATCATTTCCACATGAAAAGTATCTTTTGTCTTAGGATGTCCCTTCTTTCTGCTTGAGCATTCCCTCTCTGTGGGAGCATACGGAGCAGGTAAGTGTAGGACAGTGTCTTCTAGGGTCTGAGGTCATCAAACAAGAGGCTTTTTGTTAACGTGGCTCATCACTGGGAGCTTGTGTGTTATGCATGCACACAAAGAACCGATATTTAAAATAACATTGTAAAAGGTAGGCGTTACTTATGCTGCAGTTTTCATTGCCCAATCCAGACGGATGTAGAAGGTGAGCAAGGACCACTGGCTTTGTCTACCAGGTGGGCGTGGGTGACCCTTGAGGTGCACTGCTTCATCGGTGGTGATAGGGAAAGCTGGATGGTGCAAACTTAACCAGCTTACTGCTGACCAGAAGCTTCACATGCACCTAGAAGTACCTCGGAAGAAAGGCCTGGTGCTTCCCCCTTTTGTGAAACCCCTGATAGAGCATAAACTCTGGTAAGCATGGTGTCTGGACCACGGAAATGGTGTGCTGACACCTGGCCAGGAACAGCTCTTTGCACTGTGTTTGGGGTCGAGCTCACGAGACAGGAAGCAAGTTTCAGCGTTACTGGGGCAGGGGTGGGGGTGGGGTGGTGGAGCAGAGGTGGCCATGCAGAGCCAGCAGGAAGGGACAGCAGGGTCTAGGAAAGTGGACGAGGAGCAGAGGTGGCGCTGTGGTTGAGGTGCTCCACTGATAACCAAGAAGTCAGTGGTTGAACCCCACCAGGTACCCTGCAGGAGCAGATGGGGCAATCTGCTTCCGTAAATGCCAGCTTTGGAAACCCAGTGGGGTTGTTCTCCCCTGTCCTACAGGCTGCCGTGGGTCGAATCCATCCTTAGGCACTGGGTTCCAGAGAGTTTCAATGGGAGGAGAGGGAGCAGCAGATAAAGTCAGAGCACCTAGTTTTCGCTCCTCTCTTGTAGAGGGAGGTTAAGCCTCAAACTTAAATGCAGTGCTCCATCTGAATGGCGGAGTTACCCAGCTGTTCTGTTTCTGTTACTTATTGCAACTCTTCGGAGGACCCTGAGTTTAAGCCTTGGTTCATATTGTACTGTTGGCAGCAGGGGTGCAAGAGTTGTTAGGATATTATGCTGTTTTATTCTCAGGGTGTGATTAATCTAAGTTGGTAAATGTGAAAGCCCATTTATTAATGTGGATAAAGAAAATATTTTGTCACAGTAACTCATAATCTCACTAAATTGTGTAAGCATTTAGCAGTATAGATAGTGCTTAGAGATACCATAAGACACCAATAGGTAATCCTGTTCCTTGTCTCAGAGTTTTATTTGAGCTTTGTGCAGTGGCAATATCGTAGCCAATGACATCTACCCGAGGAGGCGCGATTATTGCTAATTGAAAACTTTTCCCAACACCCCGCTGTGACGACTTGAAATTTGGTCGGCATTGGCGATTTTTGACGGTCTCCACGGAGACTTAAAAAAAAGAGTTTTGTCTAAAGAATTACTTGTGGTTTGAAAGAGAAGTTCCGTTTTGCCCTAAAATATTGCCTCTTCGTTGCATTAAGTGAGCCATGAAATCGTAAGGAGCGTTTGCTCTCGGCAGTTCCATTAGTTGGTGGATCCGTTGAATTACTTCCCTAACACAGTGTTTGTTTCGTGTCTTTGGGATAGTGTGAGCTTTTCCTCTGGGATTTCTGATTTTCATTCTGGAAAAATGTCCTGCAGTGTTCTGAGTGCGTGCTCACTTTTTTTTTTTAATGAGCCAGACCGCCAGTTACGGCTTGCCTTCCCGCCAGCCTCCAGCCCAGCCGGCCCTGTGCGCTCCCCTAAAGCCTCGGGCTACCTCTGTACAGACGGTCTGCACATTTCAAAAACAGTGCATGGGAAATATGGAATGAAAAGACAATGGAATTTTTCCACACACCTTTGAAGCTTCGTCTCCTGATTATTTCATACAAACATAAACATCACCAGGGGAAGAACTAGAAATATTCTAACTCTCTCGGCGGTATTCCATAATAGACCAGGAATTCTGACTTGGTGCGCCCGGGGGTCAGTGTAGCACTGTGCTCCGAGGGTTTTCAGTAGAGTGCCAGGCCTTTCTTCTGAAGTGCCTCCGGGTGGCCTCAAACCGTTCGTTTGCTAGCCAAACTCATTCCTCTGCTGTCCCACAGAGGGACTCCAGTGAAAGCTTTAACATCTTAAGAGGAGGATACACTGTAAGTCCATAGAGCTCCTATTGGTGGGCTTACAAGAGAAGTGGCTAAACAACCTCACTGTCATGGCATGCAGGGCTCATTCCTCCCCCGTGTAGCCAAAGGCTTGCTGCTCCATAGAGTTGTCAGGGCCCTGTCATATGACACAGGCAGTCTGTCCTCCCCTACTCATCGAGAGGGTGGTGGTCGAATCCAGCCAGAGGTGCCTTAGAAGAACGGCTTGGTGCCCTGCTTCTGTAAAGATGACAGCCAGCGCAATCGGGCAGCAGGCCCCGCTCTGCACAGGGCTTGCCATGAGTTGAAATCTACTTGATAGCAGCGGCTTGTTTTGCTTAACTGCACACTCCCCCAGGGCCTCCTGTGTCCTCCATTAAATACCCAACTCATTGCCGTCGAGTCCGTTCGGACTTGCGACCGTGGCTGTTACAGAGGAGAACTGTTGAGCAGGCTTCTCCGCACTGTGCTTTACGGCGAGTCTCCGCTCAGCATGGCTGAGCACCACTGCTCGAACCAAACCCTCAACCAGCAGTGGCAATCACGAATGTGAACTGACTCCCGAACTGAGCACCTTAAGGCACCAAGAGTGGCTGGAACCAACCTTGAGGTTAATGTGTTTGTGCACCCACGAGTGTACTCTGTAGGCACGTTTCATTTCCTTATGCCCATACCTCCGCCCAAGTCACGCCCGTCATTGCGGTTCCCCAGATTTTGAGAGAGGACCAAATCCTGCAATGTATTCACATTAAATACACTCAAGGCTCAACTGGCTTTGCTTTTTTTTTCACTAGATGATGGGTTACAGACGAGATCATGAATGTCACATCCAACAACTTGTAGGCATTTCATTCATTGCAAGTTCCTCAGTGTAAAACCACTTTCATTTTTTCCCCCACTTTCAAATTTCTCAAGATTTTTTCTCAAGCCACTCTAGGTGCCTTAAGGTGCTCCGTTCGGGAGTCAGTTCACATTTGTGATTGCCACAGCTGGTTGAGGCTTTGGTTCGACCACTGCTGCTCAGTTGTGCTGAGCAGAGACTCACTGGGCAGCCTTTACAAAGTATCTCTGTGGCTTAGGGACTTTGAATTGGTAAATATTCATGGTGTGGGGGGAGAAATGCATGAATCCATACAGTGTGTCCTCAACCACTGAAAATTGTATGCTTAGTCATTTATATACATGCATAGGGTATAAAAAGATGTCAAACTGTATGAAGTCATCAAAATGATTCTGGATGACTTTTGTGTTCTTTGCTTTTTGCTCCTTGCTTTTCAATTTTTTTATAATGCACAAAAAACTTGAAGTTTTAAAAAAAGGTGACTTTTAAAACTTGCATGGAGTCCCCATTGCCTGTGAATAAAATTAGCTTGCTGACACCTAAATAAATAAATAAAAAGTATCTCTGTGTGGGCCTAGCCCCTAGGGGCTCTTACTCAGTTGGTCAGGGCTGGCATTACCCCCTCCAGGTGACCCTGGGGTACAGCACTGGGTTGAAAGCTGTGCAGTCTTACTGGTCAATGTTTACGTGACAGTGGGTCGGCTCCATTAGGGATTTCTGGGAGACGTGGAAATCTCTGGCTGGTTTTCTCTTAACCTGCTGATTACAACGTGGCTGTACGTTTATCTTCAGCAAGAAGAAACAGATAAATAGGTTGAAGGCAGTATTTCAAAAAAGACGACAGCCTTCCATCAGCCATTGACACAAGAACTGCCAGAAATTCAGGCCGACTCAGAGCAGGACAGGGGACTGAGGGACATCCTCGCTGATGTAGGGTGGATTTTGGCTGGCAGCAGAGACTACCAGACTCTGAAGACATTCGCCATGTGGATCATAGGAATGATGGGGTAGCATTGCCCAGAATGTGTATTCCAGAACACTTCTTTGTGTTCTTATGGAACGTGTACCAGAATAAGACCAGAGTGTGATTCAGAAATGTGCGCCAGGATTGTATCTTTTCACCTTACCTATGCGATTTATATGCTGAGTAAGTTACCTGAAAAGAAGAACTATATGAAGCCCCAAATTCTCACAACTAGACCAGTAAACATCATCATAATGGAGAAAAGAAATTAAATTACTAGGGATTTCATTCTACTTGGACTAACAATGCCCACAGCAACAGCAATCGAGAAAGCAAAGGATGTGTTCCATTGGGCCAGTCTTCTGCCAAAGACTTCTTTATGTATTTAATCATCTTATTGGGCGCTCTTAGAGCTCTTATAACATTCCATACATCAATTGTATGAAGCTTATTTGTACATATGTTACCATCATTTTCTATTTACTTTCTATTTGAGCCCTAGCTCTTTTTCAAAGACTTCTTTAAAGTGTTAAAAACCAAAGAGGTTTAAGATGACCTGTGTACTTTCTCTCTAATTTTAGACATATTGCCAGAAAAGACCAATCCCTAGAAAAGGGCGCTGTTCGGTAATGCCATCCCTCTTCAGGGAAGTGAAAGGATGCAGGGTGGCACTTGCCTCTTGTGTCTCTGGAACGCTCCAAACCACGGGGTGGGAGCATGTGTAAGGGGGTTGTTTGTTGTGCTGTTCCACTGGCTAGGAGAGTGCACTGTCTCAAAAGCAGGAAGGGCAGTCCCATGACCACCAAGAAAGAAGAGCCACCAGTGGCTTATGTGGGAGATCCCTGCCTGAAGTGGCTCCAGCAGCAGAGGCACCAGGGGCCATAGGACCACGAGACAGAGCAGAAAGCAGAAGACAGTACGGGGTGGGCTACCCAGCCCACAGGATGAGGCAGAGGTCAAGGACCTGAGAGAGAGAGAGAAAGACATGCCTGCCAGCCTAGCTGAGAAGTATTGAAGACAAAAGAATTGTGACATTAACGAATCCGTAACCTGTTAGATTCCTAAGCAAACGTTGTGATGGTATTGTCTGTGAGTTCTGTGGGGTCATTGCAATGGCTTATTGAGTCCACTAAAGAAGGGTGGGAATGGGGTGGGTATCAGAATAGGGTACAGAAGGATGGAGGATACAAGTGTGCCTGGCCTCTTCCTTGTTGGAATCATCCTTTGTGTAGCCAGAGGAGGTCCATTGTGGCCCCCAAGCCCTTTTCCTCTCCTCACCTCGATAAAAGGGACTGACAAAATGCTGCAACCCCACCCAGGGGTAACACACCAGCAATCATGAAGTTGGCACAGGACCAGGTGACTGTGTTCTGTGATGAATGAACCACAGCAGCCGTGCATTTAATTTGCATGTGAGGTGGGGTCCCTGAGTCCTGGAGCCTCACCCCAGCAGCCATCTGCTCATCAATGAGGGGTCCGTTGGTTACATGGGAGATGAGTTAGGAATGATGGGACGTTCCAAAAACCTGTTCTCCCAGGTTGGGCCTGGGGGTGCAATTCACAATCTATGCATGAGCTCAAGTGAGATCCTGGGGGGCATCTTACCTTGGAGCTCTAGCTGTCCCCATTTTCCTCTAGGATCTTAGATGTGCGTGAGGGCACATCTGTCAAGTGTCCTGCATATATCTTGCATCAGCTTCCTGTGGGTCTTTTTGTCTGCTTTTCAGTCAAAGATTTCATCCTTGTGCGTGTGCCTAAGACTATCCTGTGCTTCCACAGGGGCTGGGGGGCAATACGCAAGCAGGCCCAGGAGCCTGCACTTAAAACCAGTTCTCCAGGTGGGGTTTGTGGCCAAGCAGGTTTGGGGAGCCCTAGTGGAGAGACTGATGGAGGGGGTCCTTGCCCAGAACCATCAAGTAGCTTGATTTTTGAAGGTCAATGGAGGCTGAGCCAGGGTGTTTCCTGGGTGGGGGGACCGCTCACTGGGTGCACTGTGAAATAGCTTTGGGTTAATTGGCTCCTGGCCTACTGGGGAAGGATTTTAACCCACAGCTCCCTGGGGTCCCCCCTCAGAGGCTCCCATTCGGAAGGGCAACAGTTTTAAACCGGGGGTGGAGAGCAGACCCCCTGTGCGGTACAAAGAGGGAAGAACATGGATGCTCATGTTGGTCCAGCCCTTTTTAAGTCTTAATGAATTTGGGTGACCAGAGTCAAGATCTCCTTTGATGGTTTTTGAAGGGGAGCACTTTGACTGTGATTCTCTGTTGGCGCAGTCAGGTGAAGAAAACTGACAGTGCTTGCTCGATATGCTAGTGGAGAGTCTGTCGGCCTTGCTAATTTCCACACCCTGGTGGCTGTTGTGCCGTCGAGTCCACGCTGATGCAAAGCTGCTCTGTAGAACAGAGCACAGCTACCCACAGGCTTCCATAGACGGTGAGCTTCAGTGGGCTAAGAACTAATACTGGGGAGAATAGAAGTGACCTGCATAGATTGCCTGTGTGTGAACTGAACCGTTGTTGGAATTTGAGCTGTCTCTCGTTTCCCCTCAGATCAGTTACCATGGACCTGCGGCAGTTTCTCATGTGCCTGTCCCTGTGCACAGCCTTGGCCCTGAGCAAGCCCACAGAAAAGAAGGACCGTGTCCACCATGAGCCTCAACTCAGCGACAAGGTCCACAATGACGCACAGAGCTTCGATTATGACCATGATGCCTTCCTGGGAGCAGAAGAAGCCAAGACCTTTGACCAGCTGACACAGGAAGAGAGCAAAGAGAGGCTGGGGTGAGGTGCCATTCCTTGGGGCTGGTCGGGTGGGGACGTTTGTGTCATGCATCTGATGCTTAATTGGCCTCTTCTGAAAGCTGACCACAGAATGGCGACCCATTCAGATTAACCCAGAGCCTGCGTTCATGCATGTCTCCACTGAATAACAATTTGCACCTCATTCTACACAGCAAAACCCTTTTGACCTCACATGCCAAGTATTGCAGGACCCAGCTTGAGCTGCTCCCTAAAGAACACGACAATGGTGTGTCTTTTTGTGGCAAGGAAATGGCACATCGCTCTACCCCTGCCCCGGCTGATTTCTGTTGATGTATGATTCCCTTGACCCTTTCGCATTCACTCTCAAATATTTGTTTACTTCGTCAACCGGCTAGCCCTGCACGTCTACAAGTGCAGCGGGCTGCCTGTCCGAGCAGAAGCTGCTGTTGTAGGAAGTGCTGGGCCTCGCTCAGCAGGCAGCTTTCTTCCAGAATATTCATCTGAACGAAGAGTCCCTAAGCAGTGTCAGGGGTTAAGTGCTGGGCTACTAAGAAAAGGCCAGCGGTTTGAATCCAGCTAGAAGGCCCTTAGAGGTAAGGCCCAGCATGTGCTTCCAAAAGGTCATCTGGCCTTGTAAACCCCTGGGAGCAGTTTTAGTCTGCACACAACGGGCCGCCATGAGTAAGAATCGGCTTAGTGGGCACTTACAACAATCAGCAGTCTGAAGAATCCATTTGACAGACTCCCGGGTGGGGGGTCTCAGACTTTTTTTAGTTATATCAAACCCGTGATTCTTTCAGCACATACAGGTCAGTGGGAGAAAGGAAAACAATAAATGTCTACTCAGCTGGGCACCTTTGGGCCGTTTCCTGAACTACATTTCAGGTTCGCCAGAGGAGTTGTGGCCCCTTTCCTCTAGGGGTGGCCACGTGGCCCGCACACTGCTTCTCAGGCAGCGGTACGGCAGCAGTGTTGGAGGAACCCACGGGCTCTGCTGACTGGTGGACACAATGTTTTTTACCCTTTGACCTGGCAGAAAGGATGAAAAGGCTTTGCTGTGTAGAATGGCAGTTACCCCCAAACATTTGAAAGTAGGTAGAGAAAGGCTGACTAATGAAAGACTGTCTTGCGCTAAGTTGCTTCCCTGTCAGACCACGCTCACGCCAACGTTAACTTGTGCTAATATTCCAGGCTCCAGAATCTGACTGCATGTGGGGTCGCGGTCTTCTTGTTGTGCCTCTTAACCCCACGCATGTCTGGCCCAGGGTTGCTTTTCAGGAGCAATGGGGTCTGTAAGGTAGATGGACCTGGAGTGAAAAGGAGTTCCTGGCTCTCTGCGAGTTCTGAGTGGCTCTGCCAACAGTTCTCAGGGATGAGAAAACGGCCCTTTGGTGTCACCAATCAATATTATTAAGAAATTCCACACAAGCACAGGCCCTATATTTAATTAGGAGAAAATGCTAAAATTCACATTTTTCATGAACTGCGCAGTGAATTAGTGGCTTTCTCCAAATGTTGGTGATAGTGAGAACTACCCCTCATTTTTACAGTGCCAGGCTGTGAGAAGCCAAAATCCCAGGCACATTTTCTTTATTTAAATCCCGTGCCATCTCTACATGGGCTGTTGGTTGGTGACTGCGCACCTAAAGAGGCTTCCTCTTCTTACTCCATCTGCCTATAAGACAGCTTAATTAAGGGTAAGGTCATTGTTTATACATGAGTTAAAAGTAGCTCCATGTTGTCAGATCCTGAATAATAAAGCCAAAAGACCACAGGAAGCAGTTATACAAGCAATCTTAGTACTCGGTTATTTTATTAATAAAAGATACTGACCTGTAGATCATTTCTCCAATGTAAATATTCCCATTTTCTCTCCTTCTCCCATAAGGACACTAAGTATACGTCATTCCCGCGTCCTGTTTTCAGGTGGTTGTGGTCCTTGACCGAATGCCACCCCCACTGCCCTTGATAGACTTGCTGTGCAGGTGACATGCCCAACCCCTTGGGGAGTGTAGATGGAAACTGAGGGGCTTCCTCAGAGAGCAGCAGGACAGTTTACGGGCTGAAGGTGGCAGTCAGTTTATCGACCCGCTTCTTAGCAAAACAAAGGAGTTGCTTTATGCCCATTGAAATGTCTAGGCGTGCGCTGTCTTCTAGGAGGAATAGCAGAGGGCTGCCAAGTGATTGTGTCTGCCTGTGAGTACACGCTCACTTAGCGGCCTCTCACTCAATCCAGCGAGAGCCCCAGTGTCCTCAGGATGAAGGAATACCCAAGTTTACACAGACCTCGTGCCTGAAATAGGACTTGGCCTCTGCCAGTGAGCTTGCACAACTGCCTGCAGGCTAGTTGGCCAGCTGGATGAGACTGTCTTTTACCGTTTTAAAGGGCTTAGAAAGCGAGAACAGCATGCAAGAGTCCATATGGTCAGCAAAGCCCTAAATATTGACTGGGTGTGTCCCTGTAGAGAAATGTTTGCTGTGCCCTGCTTTAGCCCCTGGGATATTTCTGGTGGAATAAATAGCGTGGCATCCAGAGGGCCCAGCTTCACAGTCATGTGCCTTTTTCCTGATCCAGGCTAGCCTCTTTGGACTATTTTTGATCGTTGGATAATATCTTTCCAGCATGGGGGAGGGGGGGGGTGTTCTTTTTTTCTTGATCTCACAGGGACGCTAATGGAAGGCACCATTTGGGCACAGCCTGGATCCCATTACAGAACCTGCAGACGTTCCCATTTGTTTGCATTGTTAGAGTTGGAGAAGAGGAGTGTGCTGAGAAATGGTTCTTACCGCTTCCCCTTGCCTGTTAGCGTTGGGAGAGCAAAGGCTGGAAGTCCCCGTTTCTTGAAGAAAGGTGCTAGTTAAGTACAGGCTCTAAGCTGGCACTGTGTGATTATCAAGATGAATCTCTTCCCGGTGGCACGAGCCCGCTGGTTCCTATCCCCGTCATGTGGGTGTTGAAATGAACACAGACTGGGAAAAGACATTACTCGGTACCAAATGGCAGTCCTTTTCCATGTTGCAGTTAGGAGGCACAGATGCCAAGATTTCGCTCCTGTTGAAGGTTTTGAGGTAATGCTGCTGTTCTCAGCCAGGCTCCTTGCTCCTGTGGCTGTCCACAGGTTGTTTTAGCCTTTCTGAGTAGCTTAGAGATTGTGATATCATGCACCCGTTTTGAAATCCTTCAGCTAAATAACAGATTTGGAAGAAAGATGCTCATGGGGGGGATAGACTTCAAAAAGTTGGTGGGAAACTCAAATGAACGGGTCCTTGACAATTTCCATGAGCGTCTTCTTTTTTTTTTTTTAAGCCTCATATCGCTGCTCTGTTTTGATTTATCATCTGCATGCTAACCCTCTCAGCTTATTAATATTCTAATAATCAGATCATACCCTCTCCCCACCTCGCTTCTTCAGAGCCCCGTGCTCATGCTTGTATGAGAAAACCCCGCTCAACATCTTCGTGTATTGGGAGCTACCAGCTAGATTATAAAATAAATGTCCTCTTACTTTTTTGTGTGTGTGGGGGGGGGTTCTTTAATTTTTGTTTTGAGGTCCCAGAACTGTTTTTGATAGCTATTCTTTTTTTTAAATGTTATTTTTTAATATATATATATATAAGAAATATTGTACTTTATTTTTTGATGGATTTTCTTTTCCTTTTCTTTTTTTTTTAATGGTTTGGGCAAAAGATTGCAGAATAGATTTGTTTTTTAACCAATAAATGTCACCCTTTTTTGTTTAGTTAAGTTTGATGGAAAGATTTGGCCTTTTTAGAAAATCCTGCCCTGTCAGTGGCTGTACCTTATTTACTGCCACACCCTGGGGCCTCATCTTAGAGCCGTGAAGACCGGCACCGTTTTGATGCCCAAACGGAGAGCCCAGCGAGCAGCAGTTACTGAGCACACATTCTGACCCAGGGCTAAAGCCGCCCTGGAAAGGGGGGACATGGCTGTTGAGTCTACGTGTGCCAGCTGGGCCCCAAGCCTGCCTTCCCCGGGGGCTCATCACAAACCAGGGCCCAGCCTTAGGAGAAAAATGTCCATTGCCTTCTGGGGCAGTTTCCTATTGAGATTTTTTATTTTTTAATGCTCTAGCCCTGGGCAGTACCTGTGGTCATAGCACACACGGCCACGCCAAGAGCCCTGTGTCCCTTTAACCTCTTGCTGGATTTCTCTGCATTTTCTACAGAAAGATTGTAAGTAAGATAGATGGCGACAAGGACGGGTTTGTCACTGTGGACGAGCTCAAAGACTGGATTAAGTTTGCCCAAAAGCGCTGGATTTACGAGGATGTAGAGCGGCAGTGGAAGGGGCATGACCTCAATGAGGACGGCCTCATTTCCTGGGACGAGTATAAAAATGCCACCTACGGCCACGTTTTAGGTAGGTCCCTCTGGCCCGGGGCAAGGGCCTTGTGGAGCCGGCACCTTGAAACGTACCTGTTTTGTCTTGTAGAATGATTGTAGATAAAATAGACGCCGATAAAGATGGGTTTGTGACGGAGGGGGAGATGAAATCCTGGATTAAGCACGCCCAGAAGAAATACATATATGACAATGTTGAAAACCAGTGGCAGGAGTTTGATCTGAATCAAGACGGCTTAATCTCCTGGGATGAGTACAGGAACGTGACTTATGGCACTTACCTGGGTAAGGGGCTCGGTGGCGGCCTGGCGGACCTCGTGGTCTTGAGTCAGAGAAACAAATGGGTCACACAGGACGGGAAAGGAACTGTATTTCCCTCCACACTGTTCAGTGCTGAGCTCACCTCCCTCATTTTATTATGAAACTTGTGGGCTATGTATTTTTTAATTCTGGTTTTCCAAGTGTTGCATCTCCTACATCTTCAGGACTTCAATATGTTCCCATTTCGATGTTCTGTGTGGGCTTTTTGGTTCTTCTTCTTCCTGCCCCTCATAGCCATGCTTCTGGGGTACAGTCTTTCAAAGCCAGCATTGTGCCAAGAGGCGTCGAGATGTCTCTTGAGACCGTCACACACAACTGCTGGTCCCCAAATTGGAACCCCACTGGGGAGACAAGGAGGACAGTGTCGGTCCTGCGCCAGCAGACTGTAAAGAGCTCGTCAGACAGCCTGCCTTGGGAAAGCCAGCAGCCCTAGCACCGTTTGGCTTGCTCGGTTTAGCACTGAAAAGTTCCCATTTGTTTTCTCTGGTGCATGAATGAGTCTGCCAGCCCGCTTCGCCATGTTTCCAGGCAAATCCATGTTGCTCTGACTGCTTTCTGTTGGTCTTGTGGCTCGGGTGCCTGGGCCACCTGCTGGGAACGGCCTTTCACTCGTGACACTTGCCTGCTGCCGAGTACTTGTTGGCGAGTTGACCAGGCCGGCCAGATCCCTCTGTTGCACTTGGCTACAGTTGGAGACAAGAGGGCACAAACAAGACGATACGTTTTCACCCCAGAAAAGGGTGCTCACCTAGGGTGTGTGGTGGCCGGGTCCCTACCCCACCAGATGGCCAGCTGTCAGAGCTCAGTGCAGAACTGCCGCTTTCTGGGAAAGACTCTCTGTGACTGGAGTGGAACTCCCTCCCAGTGCTTGCCACTCCGCCAAGAGCCAGGCCTCGCCCTCCCCAATCAGGAATGTGGGTGGGCAAAGCCAGTGACTGCTGGGCCCTGGCCCCAACCCACCCTCTGGCTTCTTTGGAATTCAGAAGATGAATCTGAGGCGGGTGGAGGGGTCTGCAGAATGGCCTGCCTTTCCACGCTGCTTGTGAGCCTGCATGGGACATGGTCCCAAGCCTTTGACCTCTTGGGGTACCTCAAGGCTATAAGGCAACTGACCGGGACAGGACAGCTCTCACGGTGTTTGCATGTGTCGGGGCTTGACTGAGTGGAGTCAGGAATACATCCTCTTCGTTTGTCACTCACATCGACCTTGGTGGTGCAGCTGTGCAAAGAAGGAACATTCAACCCTGTGTCTGCCACAGTTAAAACTGATGGGCAAAACCCCATGCTGCCCTGCCCAAGCCGGCACAGGAGGCTGGGCTCAGGCCCGCCGGGAGTCACCGCTGATGGTGCCCAGCTCGTGTCACCCCGCTGCCTAGAGTGACCTGAGGAGGGGAGCTGCCGGCTCAGCAGCAGCCTTGCTTGCGCATCTCTTCCTGCTGATGCACAATGAGACTGGGTGAGCGAGAGGTGCCTTAGCAGCCGGGCACGGTGGCCTTTCCCAGACCTGCCAGCCCCAAAGCTCTGGGACTTGAGTGTACACACAAGGGGGCTTCCGAAAGTTCGTGCCCAAATGGAACTAAAAGGTACCAGCATTTCCCCACGAGCCTTTTGAAAGGGCCCCCGGCCTCCTGCGTCAGTGAACTCAGCAAAGGAGGAGGCATCCCTGATGACCGAGGACCAGCACCAGGTATGACCAGGGGCTCTCTTGAGAAGCCATCTTTGTTTCCAATCCTAAAGCAAAAAGAACCAACGACAAGCTCCTACCTCTCAGAACAGCACTGGCTTTTAAAAGTTGCGAGTCGGGCGAGGTTGGCCGCCAGCATAGGAGGGCTTGTCTGTTGTCATCGGATGGCGACGCTTTTATCCCACCCTTAATGCCCTTCCTCTCCCCAGTTCACCAGCGTGAGTGTGTCGCTCAGAGCAGCGAGCGTCATCGTCCAGCTTCCTCTGTACAGAATCAGCCCTGCCCAGGCCTTTGAACCTCCTGACTCAGAGACAGTTGGCATTCCCTTAGGTCACAGTCTAATGCAGTTTCTCTCGTTACCCCTCGAAACCAGTCCATTTTGGAGGTTGAACTGGCATTCTGTAAATGGCACCTATTGAAAGGGTGCATACGACCCGTTTAGGCTGAGATAGACACCATGAAGCCAGCACTCCAGTCATAGCACAAACCTGCCCCCAATGTCCCTGTCCCAGGCAGTCACTCGTGTACTTTCTGGGACCCTAGGTCAGTTTGTGTGTTCTGGAACTTTACGGACATGGGGGAAGAGCCTTACCTGGAACTCGGCTGGTTTTCTGGTTTGGCTGAGGAGAGGATGTGGCCTTGCAGAGTGCTGTGCTGTCACTGGAATCCCAGCCACGCCTTAATGTGAAGTAGAAGGGTGTTGCCATGTGGAAACTTAACCAGAGCCTAATTTTTAAGAAGGAGCCCTGATGGTTGCAGTGGTTATGCATTGGGCTTCAATCTGCGTGGTCGGCAGTTCAAAACCACTAGCAGCTCGATGGGGGAAAGACTGGGCTTTCTACTCCCGTAAAATATTAAGATTTGAAAACCTGTAAGGGCGGTTCTATCCTGCTCTATAGAGTCTGGGCTGTGAGGCTGCCTCTGCTCGATAGAGAGTTTGAGGCTTTTTTGTTGTTTTAACTTTGAATGATGCGGCAGCTAACATTTGGATAGCAGACAATTAAATGTACTATGGCATTTGAACCTCACAACAATCCTGTGGCGGGCACTACTACTGCCTCATTTTACAGGTGACAGAACTGGGGCACAATTAAGCTAATTGCCCAAGGCTGCTCAGCTAGGAAGTAGTAGCCTTTGGGCTCGGCCCAGTACAACTTTGGCACTGCCGCTGTCTCCCTGGTTTCTAGCCCGACCTCTTAAGACCAACCAGCGGTGGTGGTGAGGTACACGTTGGTCTGCATAGTCCGGGGGCAGGTTCCCATGTCCAAGGGCAAGCGTTGTGTTCAGCCTGGGTTGACTGGCACATGTCTCTGCTGCTGCAGCTCTACCTGTGTGGCCACAGGGCACTTCTCCCTCCCCTGAGCGCCTGGCCGAACAGCCACTGATGCGCAGAAGTTACCGTGGATGGATTCTCAAAACCCAAACTCCTGGAACAGGATCTGGCCAGGCTGCACATGGTCAATGTCGACACTGAAAGGGCTACGGGGGCAGGTTGGGGGTGGTTGCCGTGTGGTGAGCGTGGGGGCTGCATTTGCTGTAGCTGAAGCAGCATGGGAAAGGGTGGAGGAGCAAGTGCTGGCATGGCTCAGGGCAAAGTGTGACCGTTCTCTAACAGAGCCCCCGGTCACTCGTGCCGTAATTATGCACCCTCCCTCTGGGACCACAAATACCACAGGGGCTGCCACAGCTTTTCTGAAGACCACCCTGGAAAAGACAGCAGCACTGGATTCTGCACGGCGCGGCCTCCCCTGAGCACCCCCTCCAAACAGAAGGCGCGTCTGTGCCAGCGCCCTGTGCCCCTTCACCTTCAAAACCATGCGTGGGCTGCCAACTCCACTGACTGCCTTCTTAAACTCTCCAAAGACAACATAGTCAAACCTTAGCAAAATGAATGTTTAAAGGTTTACCTTAAAGCAGCTGGTGGCGGGGGCAGTGTTATCTCATTGTTGCTTGCTTCATCTCTCTTGGAAATTGAGTCCCCCGCCCACACAGTGTTTGTGTGTTCTGGAAGCCTCTGCAGATTTGACCTGATTCTTGGTTCTCTAGATGATCCGGACCCGGATGATGGGTTTAATTATAAGCAGATGATGGTCAGAGATGAGCGGAGGTTTAAGATGGCAGACAAGGATGGGGACCTCATTGCCACCAAGGAGGAGTTCACGGCCTTCCTGCACCCCGAAGAGTATGACTACATGAAAGACATTGTTGTGCAGGTGGGTGGGGGGTCGTGCGTGACGGGCACGGGGCTGCTCCCTGTTGTCCAGTCCCCCTTCCTCTGTGCCTCCCTGTACTGGGACGGCAACCTGGTCATGCGGAGTGCTGACCCAATCCAGCGCCCAGCCCGCCTGGCCCTCTGTGGCCGGAAGCAAGTCCTTCTCAGGTGCCGTGGTGGCCATTCTATGTAACGCAGGACAACTTTTCTGCCAGGTGTGTGGCAGCTTCCTCGGTGACTTTACAGTGTAAAACTGGGGAGGGGGTGGTCAGCTATTTATTGAAAATACACCATGATGTTCAGTGAGATGCTGAGCGATAAGCTGCAACATTGAAGCACTCTCGTGGGAGGCCATTAGCTGCGACACTGACTGTACCTGTGGACGAACTCACTGGCCACACCTCCCACTAGTGTGACTTCAGTGTGACAGGCCACCAGCACTGGGGCGTGGTGGGTTAGTTCAGGTTTTTCCTCCACTGAAAGATAAATATTTGCCCAGACAAGTTGCCATCCACTTACTACTCTGGGCAAGCTCCCTCCGAGACTCATGTCCTGTTCCTCTCCCTTCTCCTCTCCTCCCCTCTTCCTCTTCCTCTCCCTTCTCCTCTCCTCTGGTGTAGGAGACAATGGAGGACATTGACAAGAATGCTGACGGCTTCATCGACTTGGAAGAGTATATCGGTAAGTCTGTCCCTAGTGCTTCCCTTAGAGGAGGCCGGGGTGCTTTGCCAGATGTGCTCACCCATTGAGGCAGTTCCTCTGCGCTCAGCTCACAGCAGGTGGTGAGGCCAGGCGAGTGTGGGGAGCAGGGAGTGGTGATAAGCTCCCCTAACAGTCCTGTCCAAGGACCGTAAAATCAGTGAGTCCCTCTCAGGATGTAAAGCCCTTGGAGCTGCTGCTAGGCTCCAAAGAGGTGCCCGAGGATGAGGGTGGGGCCAGACTGGCTTGGCACCATCATTGAAAGCAGTCACACACACGTGTGTGTGTGTGATCACAGGTGACATGTATAGCCATGACGGGAAGGCCGATGAACCTGAGTGGGTGAAGACTGAGCGAGAGCAGTTTATGGAGTTTCGAGATAAGAACCGAGATGGGAAGATGGACAAGGAAGAGACCAAAGACTGGATCCTGCCCTCAGACTACGACCATGCGGAGGCAGAAGCCCGGCACCTGGTCTACGAGTCCGACCAAAACAAGGTACGGTGGCCAGGCCCAGACAAGCCAGGCCCACTGAGGCTGGGTCTCTGGGGCTGCCCAGCCAATTCCTGTAGGGGCTATAGAACACTCAAGTGGCCAAGGGTCCGAGTTTGGCACTGACCTCCCGTGTCGCATGTGTTGGCCTGTTAGCACTGGGCCCACGGGAAATCTCCTTGGCCCCTTTTTGGCGGGGGTGGGGTGGCGGTTGCTCTTCCTTTGCTGTTGCACCTACCGCAGGCCCATTCTGCCCCCTGAAGCTGGTTTTTTTCCTCCTGAGGTCAAACATGCTTGCTGAGTTGATCCTGGTGGACACCAGCTTTCCCCTGGAGCCTGTTGCAGTTGCAGGCGTCCTTGCTCGGGGTCAGGAGTGGTGGTACCCTCGCTGGGTTTTCTCTTCTCTGTGCTGGACTGAACGGAGGGTAGGCCTGGTGACGGCTGTGTCCAATTCCGGTTCTGGACCGCCTGCTAGCCCTTCTTACTGGGCGGCCTGGCCGAGGGCCCACCCGGCTGAGTGCTTGCTCAATCACTTCAGTCTGTCCCAAGGGAGGCAAGAAAAGGCCGCTGACTCAGCCCTCCCTTGGGTGCCTGGCCTGGCTCACCTTCGGGATACAGGCTGTACCCTCCTCAGGGATTGTAGCTGGCATCCAGCTGGGCACTCAGGCAGAGGGGAGGCGGAGGCCCCAGCAGACTCACGTTGAAGAAATTGTCTAGCTCTTGGCGACCACCTCTTAGTCCACATGGGGCTGCCCACAGTCTCCCCGGAGGTAGACTTTCTTCCTCAGGAAACTGGCCTGTCTCTAGCGTGCGGCTCTCTTCCCTCCAGTGCCCACCCCTGATTTTCTTTTCTTTTTTTCCCACCCCTGATTTTCTTGATGAGGTAAATGTGCGAATTGCGTGCTCTTCCCTCGCCGGGCCTCGCCTCCGGGTTAGGGTTCTGCTGGCTTTTCCTGTGTGGGGCTTAGGATCCTGAGCTGTGGTTGAGACAGACACACAGACAGGGACTATGAATCCATTGACCGCTCGGCCCTCATTTCAGGACGGCAAGCTCACCAAGGAGGAGATTGTCGACAAGTACGATTTGTTCGTGGGCAGCCAGGCCACAGACTTTGGGGAGGCGCTGAACCGGCACGATGAGTTCTGAGCTGCACACAGCGGAGCCCACCTCTCTTCAAAAGTAATTTATTTTGACAGCTTCCGGGAGATTGTGCTCGCTACTGAGACTGTTGTCACAGACTTGTCAGACGTGGAACAAAAACTGTCCCATCCTGTCCCCGTTCCTCCTCCTCCTAGCGGACCGAGGGGACAGTTCGTAATCCTTACACTTGTGTGGGTAGACTGACACTTGTATTACGTAGAACCTGCGTTTGTTTTTGTATTTGCTCTCTGGTTGGGGTCCCGCAGGAAGGCTGCCGCCCTCCCCTCGCACACAGAGGCGGGGCTAGTGCTTCCCTCTTCCTCGTCCCCAGCGTGTTTCTCATTGGTTAGCTCGAACGGCAGCCTGAGAATAAGAACAAAAGTTCAGGGGTGCAAAAAAGAATTAAAAAAAAAACAAAACACCTCGGAGTTCCGGTTTAGAAAGCCAGCCCCTGCCCTGGCCCTATCACTGTGGAGGGGGCTGTGGAGGGGTGGCCCCGGGCTACAGATCCAGCACTGCTCCTGGAGGGATCTGGGCAAGGAGTGATCTTTGTGCCAGAAGAAACCTTGGCCCCACTTCACTGAGTTCCCTATTTGTCCTTTAGTGCCCCCCGCCCCTGTAGGCCTGGCCGGTGGCTAATGTCATCAAGCACAGCTGTGGTGGAAGAGTTCAGGCCAGGGCCTTGAATGCAGTGAGTGGTGAGTGTGCTCTCTCCACAGCCTTACAGACAGAAACAGCTGGGCACCTCGAGAGACGCGCAGACATTTGGGGCATACATTTCCCCCTGGTGTGCAGCTTTTGGAATGCTAGCGATTGTCTTGCCTGCCGAGATGGCTGTGAGGGGCCCAGCCTGGCCCCTCTTTCCCGCTCCAGCCTTCCACGATCAAGGGGTCAATTTTGATTCCACGGCCATTAAAAGTCCTTCTCCCAAATCATGTCATTGAAAGTGCCTTTAACTGACAAGAGAAAAGATCACCGAAGGAGAATTCTCTCTCTCTCTCTCTCTCTCTCTCTCTCTCTCCCGAGAGAGAGAGAGAGAGAGACCCGAAGAGAAAGTACAACAGTCATTTGGACCACCTTCCATGAAAGCTGAAGGCTCCCCCACCCCCCAACATAAGGAGACTCCTCCTCCCTCTGTCTGTAGCAGTATTAGTTAGGAGCTGGGTGCAGTGTTCTCATCTGACAGGCTGGTGTCCGCACACCACGTGCTGCTGAATTTCCCAGGGATCCTCATACCTCAGAATGCAAACCACTTACTGCCCCGACCTCTGGCTGAGCGGCTCTCGAAGGTGAGGGGCTCTTTGGTTTGAGGACCACAGCTCCCCCTCCCCCTGCCTGCCTGTCCTGGAATCACCCCTCTTGCTCCTCCCCCAGATACTTGCTGTGGGTCCACCCACAGTTGCCCATCCTCATCTAAGAGAAGGATGTGGAAAGAGCTGAAGAGACGGCATACTGCTTCCCTGCCACTCCACCAGAGTCTACAGAGCCAGAGCTCTGGCCTTCTCGGCCCTTTCTTACAGGTGGGCCTCTTCCGAAAAGAATGATGATATCACAAGGTTTTAGTCCTCAGGTTACTAAGACAAGTATATATATCTATAACCTGTATTACTTCATGTATCTTTCTGGATCATACCGCCAGGTGGTGCTGGGTGACTGTCCTCATCTGAACCTCGGTCTGCCCTTTTGGTCTTCCATGAGCCTGGCCAGGTGGGAAGCCAGTAGCGTGGGACTTCCCACAGCCTTGGAAGTAGGCTCTCACTAGTGGGGGGACCCTGTTTTCAGGGGGAACAGAAAGGCTTTCCTGTATTTCCCAACATCGAGGAAGGGAGGTGAAAGTTCTCCCCCTCCACCTTCCTACTTGTATTGTTCAGGGAGGAGAGCGCATCCACGCCACCAGCCCTGACGTAATTCACGGGGCACTCATCAATTGTGGCACGGCGGGCGTGGAGCCCAGACCTTGGTGAGAGGCACCCACTTAGAACGAAGACCTTGCCCTGCCACAGTGACCAGGTGCTCCGCAGCGTGCACGTATACCCATGACTTCCCTGGAGTCAGTGTGGTTTAAACCAAGCCAGAGGCCAGCCACCAGTATCCCACCACCACAACCGGGGGGGGGAACACGGCTTCATGGATGCCAGCCCTCTTGAATTTGGATACTGGTTATTTTTTATAGAGTGTAAACCATGTTTTCTATTCTACCATTCAAACAGGCTTTTCTGTTTCTAAATAAAACTGTTTACATTCCCTGTGGGGGTGCGTCCTTCATTCTTTGAGGTGGGGGGCTCATGCTTAGAACTGGGAGTGTTGTGAAATGTCCCAGAAGGCTTCCCACACCCCCCTCCACCTCCCAAATGGAGCTACTCCTCTCCTCTGATTTCTGGAGTCTTCTAGCAATGCCCTCCACTAGCCTCTCAGCTGCTCGTTGTGGACGCACACGCTGCGCTTGCTTTTTATTCCAAGGTCTCTGGGCGCAGGGACTGGGCGGGCTGTGACATTTCAGGTAACACAATTTTGTAAGCATTTCGTTATAAACTGTTTAATAAAAATAAGAAGGTATATAATCATCTTGAGTACATGTGGGGAGTTTAAGAACTTGAGGAAACACAAGGGTTTAAGACACGGGGGCTTCAAAAAGCCTGCGGGGAAAATTTCTAAAAGGTAATGGAATTTTTTCCCATGGATGTAGTATTAAATTACAATTGCCGAAGGGGTGAGGGGTGCCAGCCCCCACCCGCTGCTACTAATACTACCCACGGGTTCAGTAATGCACAATTGTATGGTTGAGATATATAAGTATATTAAAGTCATCAAGAGCATGAGAGATAATACAGTCAGACATATTACATGGTAGCATTGCTCACCTCTGACCCGCTTGGTCCTCGTCGGGGGGAACCTGGCCGCCAGAGCAGAAGCCGCCTCCCTCGGGGGAACAGCCACCCCAGTCCTCCCTCACGGGAGCAGCCCTCCTGAGAACCAGGGAGCCTCCTTATTTATTGCTAACCACCGCATCATCTCCTCTAGGGGGATCTGATTACAGAATTATATGTCGCAGAAAGGGGCAATACAATTCACAACCTGCGTCATAGGGAGGGATTGCAACATAGGCAATACAAGCAATAGGAGGGGGATGACCTAGTCATCTTAAGAGTGGTCCCGGGCTTGCCTTCAGGCACTCCTTCAAGGGAACAATGTCAGAAGGGAAGGGGTCCTATTTGCTGACCTGGACAGCTGATACCTCAATGAGAAGGACTCCCAATCCTCTCTCGATGACCTCCAAGTGTACAGTCATTCTCACGCAGCTAAGTCTAGTACTGTTATTTTGGGGGAGACAGCTTGAGATAAATCCTGTTCCCCACACATGGACTTTGAAGCTCCCGGAGCAGGTGTGGCCAAATAGGCTCCTGGGATATCATTCCTGTTGGCTCAGGGGCTTATGGGAATGGCCACCCTGACCAGACCAGCAGTTAGCGCCCTGCAGAGAAGCCAGAAAGCTCTTTCAGACTCATACCTGGGGTGTACTGAAGGGTTTTTTCCCCCTGTCTCACCTATTTTGAAGGTGTTAAAGTGTGTTCTAATGAGGAATGCCATCAGAGCAGACCCCCAAGTAAATACAGCATTCCATGTGTTCTCAGGACATGTGCAGGAATAGTCCTCCAGGAGCTGGGATGGTGCTGCTGGGGGTAGAGGCTTGTTTCAGTGTCCTGTGGTATGCGGCTGGGAGCCGGGGCAGGGGGTAGAAGAGAGGAGGAAGAGGAAAACTAGATACCCAACCCACGGTCCCTCCCTCTGTCTTTCGTTACTAGGTTGGTTCTAGACAAAAAGAACTTTTAGGTGTGTGACTCAATTTGCTGCAAATAGGCCTGTGTGTGCTCTTTAGTTGGGGCCAACTTGGCTGGACGAGAGAGTATTGACTTCCGTTTTCTGGGAGCTGGACATGTCAGATTCATCTACCAGGGACCTCCCACACACCATCTCCAGGATGCAGGCACGGAACTGGAGGGAAGGACAAGAGTCTAAGTGAGCTAGCCCTAGGGAGACGGCACCACCAAATGTGGACAGAAGAACTGCTTATTTGTACCCGCCTCCCCTAAAACCTCCCAAGGTGTGCGCTGGTGCTGTGGAGTCTCTCCCCAATCGTGAAAGCCAGCCGCCGTAGCCTCGAGCTATTCTGGGTCTGCCATCACCCCGAACAGTCTTGCTTAACTCAGGAGGCCACACTATTGGGGAACCTCACAAACTTAATGAGGCTGCCTCATGAGCACACCATCCAAAGGGGCCCCAGGTTAGGCCCCTCCACCCCACCACTACCAGAAGATTACACACACAGGCGCTCTGGTGAAACAACAGAACTTGATCCAGTGGGTC